TCGTGACCGCAAGGATTCATATTCTTAGGTTTTTTTTTACCTCTACATAACAATAGGCTCAGTCAACCATTCTACACAACAAAGACTCAGTTCCTGGCAGCGATTTAAGCCGCACCACCTCTACATAACAATAGGCTCAGTCAACCATTCTACACAACAAAGACTAATTTCCTGACAGCGATTTAAGCCGCACCACCTCTACATATAATAGGCTCAGTCAACCATTCTACACAACAAAGACTCATTTCCTGGCAGCGATTTCAGCCGCACCACCTCTACATAGCAAAAAGGCGCAGTGCCTTTTACATGCACCTTTACATCATCCGCACCTAGTTTACACAACAAAGGCTCATTCCTAACAGCGTGCTTCAGCCGCACCGAACCTCACAAAAATAATATTCAGGGTCTACCTTGGCTCCTCCCACCCTCAACCAGTATATATAAAAATACTGTGTTCTTGGAATTTCTCTCACTTGATACAGCTATCGTGCTGTGACGGTTCCACCTGAAGACGGAAGCTTGTGTTGCCTCCGAAACGTCGTGATTTTTATTTAACTTTTATTAATTAAAATGTTTTACCTACGTGACTTTACCGAAAAAAAAACCTAAGAATATCTTCCCTGCAATCTTTTCAAACGCTCGCCTCCCGACCAATCATCGCGGAGGTCTGTCTGCCAATAGGAGGCCTTGGCATGCTTTTTGAAAGACAGTCTGGCTTGCGCATTGGTTTGGAGCGAATGCTTCTTAATATCGGTCATCGCTCTCGCCGCATGCCTCCCTTGCGTTTGCTCTCTGGAAACATCCGAACTCGTTATCCCCGCTCGTTTCCTTGGTAAGGGGGGACCAAGTTTGTGAACCTCATGTGAACGATTTAAACGGCTGTAGATATTGTAGAAATAGGTTTATTACCCTTTCGCGTCATCTGGTCCAACACCAATGGAGATTAGGCTCTAAGAAAAGCTGTCTTGGGTGTGGACCAATCAACTTCAAGGACAGTGCATATTATCATTATCAGAGTTGTTTATTTTTGTTTGCATTTTGGCTGCCTGTGTTGTGGTTATTGCAAACATGATGCCTTGTATAAAGGTGTCAGTTTTTTTACCAGTTGAAAGGGTAATAAACCTATTACTATATTTTGCCACTGGTAAAGGAGGTCTCATAGTGGCTGTAAATATTCTTTCATTTGTAAATTGTGGGGGTGGGTGGGGGGTTATTTGTCGTGACGGACGCAATACGCGCGTTGTGCAAGTTGTGAACTCGTGCTAATTTCACTGGCTCCACCGTGACACTTCTCCGCTGAGTTTCAGTATGCGTCTCGGTCCCACCGTGAGGTTCCACTAGGCCTCGGCAAGGTAAGGTAAAAGTTAAACGGTAAAAAAAACAAGACAAACTTTACCCTACCTTTTACCCTTTAGCAGGTAAGGTAAAAGATAAACGGTAATAAGTATAACCCGTAAAAACAAAGTTTCTCACTATAAATCCTTTATATGCGTGGCGGCTAGAGTCCTCTCGTCCTCTGGCTTGAGATGGCTGCCACCTATGGGTCAGATGATTGCATTGCACCATTAAGCAATTGGTAATTAAATATAATATTTTTGTCCTAAAAAGTGTAAAATTTTGGACTTTTTTTCACGAACATTAATTGTCACGCACAACGAGTCTGTGTGCAAAATGTCAGCTCGATTGGATCACGGGAAGTGGGTTAAAAAACGACTGAAAGATTTGCACGGTCCTAAGCAAGCAAGCGAACTTAATATAAAGGATTTAAAAAGCAACGAGCCTACCTTTACCCTACCCTTTACCCTTACCCCTTGGCATGTCGACACCTTTACCCTTTTACCCGGTAAAAAGGGTAAATTACCATACCTTGCCGAGGCCTAAGTTCCACGACGTCACGCGACGTGGCTTTTCAGTGCGTTCAATGGGCCAGAGCTCTCTGCCGCGGTGCTACGAGGCCGAGACGTTGGCTCTTATCGGAACAGCGGTGTGTTTAGGAGTGAGCATTGTTGTGAGCGCTTTTACCGCGATCGAAGTTAAGCGCGGCTCGGACTTGAATCCTCTCTGGCCGCTCGGTAAGCGGCATTCCTGGTTGTCGCCACGGCTGCTACCAGAGATTCGTTTTCGGCAGCGTCTCGCTCGGTCGCAGGCTTTCGCGAAAACAGTGTTAGAAATCTCTCGGTCTCGATCGCCAATGTACATCATTAGATAACGGACCTTTTCTTTCGAACTGTGTTTTGTGTTTAGTGTGTTGTTCTTCTCCCCCCCCCCCCCCCATCTCGCAGCACCTCTGATTAGTACGGTTGGCTACATACGGTCCAAAAAAAGTTCAATGTACATACTTACAAAGATATTTCTCACATCCATGTTGGGTCAGCCGGGGGGGGGGGGGGGTTTCGTTTGAAACAATCCAACAAGGGGGGGGGGTACACAATAGCCAACGAAAGGGGTTGAGAGCCATCGTGCGAGAGGTTCGCTTTTAAATGTCGTTTGAAAAATAAACGGAGACGTTGCACAAGTGAGTGACTGCGTGAGTGCAGTTTGTATTCTCTTTGTTCTGCACGGTTTCCTCGCGAGTCCTCGAGTTCCCTGCCGGCTTCGTTCTCTAGTTCCTGTCTAGTTCCCGAGTTCTAGTTCCCGAGTTGTAGTTCCCGAGTTGTAGTTCCCGAGTTGTAGTTCCCGAGTTCTAGTTCCCGAGTTCTAGTTCCCGAGTTGTAGTTCCCGAGTTGTAGTTCCAGAGTCCTAGTTCCCGAGTTCGAGTTCCCGAGTTGTAGTTCCCGAGTTCTAGTTCCCGAGTTCCAGTTCCCGAGTTCTAGTTCCCGAGTTCTAGTTCCCGAGTTCCAGTTCCCGAGTTCTAGTTCCCGAGTTCCAGTTCCCGATTTCCAGTTCCCGAGTTCCAGTTTCCGAGTTTTAGTTCCTGAGTTCTAGTTCCTGAGTTCCAGTTCCCGAGTTCTAGTTCCCGAGTTCTAGTTCCAGAGTTCTAGTTCCCGAGTTCCAGTTCCCGAGTTCTAGTTCCCGAGTTCTAGTTCCCGAGTTCCATTTCCCGAGTTCCAGTTCCCGAGTTCTAGTTCCCGAGTTCCAGTTCCCGAGTTCTAGTTCCCGAGTTCCAGTTCCCGAGTTCCAGTTCCCGAGTTCCAGTTCCCGAGTTCTAATTCCCGAGTTCCATTTCCCGAGTTCCAGTTCCCGAGTTCCAGTTCCCGAGTTCTAATTCCCGAGTTCCATTTCCCGAGTTCCAGTTCCCGAGTTCCAGTTCCCGAGTTCCAGTTCCCGAGTTCCAGTTCCCGAGTTCTAATTCCCGAGTTCCAGTTCCCGAGTTTTAGTTCCCGAGTTCTAGTTCCCGAGTTCTAGTTCCCGAGTTCCATTTCCCGAGTTGTAGTTCCCGAGTTCCAGTTCCCGAGTTCTAGTTCCCGAGTTCCAGTTTCCGAGTTCTAGTTCCTGAGTTCTAGTTCCCGAGTTCCAGTTCCCGAGTTCCAGTTCCCGAGTTCTAGTTCCCGAGTTCCAGTTCCTGAGTTCCAGTTCCCGAGTTCCAGTTCCCGAGTTGTAGTTCCTGAGTTCTAGTTCCCGAGTTCTAGTTCCCGAGTTCCAGTTCCCGAGTTCTAGTTCCCGAGTTCTAGTTCCCGAGTTCCATTTCCCGAGTTCTAGTTCCCGAGTTCTAGTTCCCGAGTTCTAGTTCCCGAGTTCCAGTTCCCGAGTTCTAGTTCCCGAGTTCTAGTTCCCGAGTTCCAGTTCCCGAGTTCTAGTTCCCGAGTTCCAGTTCCCGAGTTCTAGTTCCCGAGTTCCATTTCCCGAGTTCTAGTTCCCGAGTTCCAGTTCCCGAGTTCCAGTTCCCGAGTTCCAGTTCCCGAGTTCCAGTTCCTGAGTTCCAGTTCCCGAGTTCTAGTTCCCAAGTTCTAGTTCCCGAGTTCCAGTTCCCGAGTTCTAGTTCCCGAGTTCTAGTTCCCGAGTTCCAGTTCCCGAGTTCCAGTTCCCGAGTTCTAGTTCCCGAGTTCTAGTTCCCGAGTTCCAGTTCCCGAGTTCCAGTTCCCGAGTTCCAGTTCCCGAGTTCCAGTTCCCGAGTTCTAGTTCCCGAGTTCCAGTTCCCGAGTTCTAGTTCCCGAGTTCCAGTTCCCGAGTTCTAGTTCCCGAGTTCTAGTTCCCGAGTTCTAGTTCCCGAGTTCCAGTTCCCGAGTTCTAGTTCCCGAGTTCCAGTTCCCGAGTTCTAGTTCCCGAGTTCCAGTTCCCGAGTTCTAGTTCCCGAGTTGTAGTTCCCGAGTTCTAGTTCCCTAGTTCTAGTTCCCGAGTTCTAGTTCCCGAGTTCTAGTTCCTGAGTTCTAGTTCCCGAGTTCTAGTTCCCGAGTTCCAGTTCCCGAGTTCCAGTTCCCGAGTTCCAGTTCCTGAGTTCTAGTTTCCGAGTTCTAGTTCCCGAGTTCTAGTTCCTGAATTCTAGTTCCCGAGTTCTAGTTCCCGAGTTCCAGTTCCCGAGTTCCAGTTCCCGAGTTCCAGTTCCCGAGTTCTAGTTCCCGAGTTCTAGTTCCCGAGTTCCAGTTCCCGAGTTCCAGTTCCCGAGTTCCAGTTCCCGAGTTCCAGTTCCTGAGTTCTAGTTCCCGAGTTCTAGTTCCCGAGTTCTAGTTCCCGAGTTCTAGTTCCCGAGTTCTAGTTCCCGAGTTCTAGTTCCCGAGTTCCATTTCCCGAGTTCCAGTTCCCGAGTTCTAGTTCCCGAGTTCTAGTTCCCGAGTTCTAGTTCCCGAGTTCCATTTCCCGAGTTCCAGTTCCCGAGTTCTAGTTCCCGAGTTCTAGTTCCCGAGTTCCATTTCCCGAGTTCTAGTTCCCGAGTTCTAGTTCCCGAGTTCTAGTTCCCGAGTTCCAGTTCCCGAGTTCTAGTTCCCGAGTTCTAGTTCCCGAGTTCCAGTTCCCGAGTTCTAGTTCCCAAGTTCCAGTTCCCGAGTTCTAGTTCCCGAGTTCCATTTCCCGAGTTCTAGTTCCCGAGTTCCAGTTCCCGAGTTCCAGTTCCCGAGTTCCAGTTCCCGAGTTCCAGTTCCTGAGTTCCAGTTCCCGAGTTCTAGTTCCCAAGTTCTAGTTCCCGAGTTCTAGTTCCCGAGTTCTAGTTCCCGAGTTCCAGTTCCCGAGTTCCAGTTCCCGAGTTCTAGTTCCCGAGTTCCAGTTCCCGAGTTCCAGTTCCCGAGTTCCAGTTCCCGAGTTCCAGTTCCCGAGTTCTAGTTCCCGAGTTCCAGTTCCCGAGTTCTAGTTCCCGAGTTCCAGTTCCCGAGTTCTAGTTCCCGAGTTCTAGTTCCCGAGTTCTAGTTCCCGAGTTCCAGTTCCCGAGTTCTAGTTCCCGAGTTCCAGTTCCCGAGTTCTAGTTCCCGAGTTCCAGTTCCCGAGTTCTAGTTCCCGAGTTGTAGTTCCCGAGTTCTAGTTCCCTAGTTCTAGTTCCCGAGTTCTAGTTCCCGAGTTCTAGTTCCTGAGTTCTAGTTCCCGAGTTCTAGTTCCCGAGTTCCAGTTCCCGAGTTCCAGTTCCCGAGTTCCAGTTCCTGAGTTCTAGTTTCCGAGTTCTAGTTCCCGAGTTCTAGTTCCTGAATTCTAGTTCCCGAGTTCTAGTTCCCGAGTTCCAGTTCCCGAGTTCCAGTTCCCGAGTTCCAGTTCCCGAGTTCTAGTTCCCGAGTTCCAGTTCCCGAGTTCCAGTTCCCGAGTTCCAGTTCCCGAGTTCCAGTTCCTGAGTTCTAGTTCCCGAGTTCTAGTTCCCGAGTTCTAGTTCCCGAGTTCTAGTTCCCGAGTTCTAGTTCCCGAGTTCCATTTCCCGAGTTCCAGTTCCCGAGTTCTAGTTCCCGAGTTCTAGTTCCCGAGTTCTAGTTCCCGAGTTCCATTTCCCGAGTTCCAGTTCCCGAGTTTTAGTTCCCGAGTTCTAGTTCCCGAGTTCTAGTTCCCGAGTTCTAGTTCCCGAGTTCTAGTTCCCGAGTTCCAGTTCCCGAGTTCTAGTTCCCGAGTTCTAGTTCCCGAGTTCCAGTTCCCGAGTTCTAGTTCCCGAGTTCCAGTTCCCGAGTTCTAGTTCCCGAGTTCCAGTTCCCGAGTTCTAGTTCCCGAGTTCTAGTTCCCGAGTTCCAGTTCCCGAGTTCCAGTTCCCGAGTTCTAGTTCCTGAGTTCCAGTTCCCGAGTTCTAGTTCCCGAGTTCTAGTTCCCGAGTTCTAGTTCCCGAGTTCTAGTTCCCGAGTTCTAGTTCCCGAGTTCCAGTTCCCGAGTTCTAGTTCCCGAGTTCTAGTTCCCGAGTTCTAGTTCCCGAGTTCTAGTTCCCGAGTTCCAGTTCCCGAGTTCCAGTTCCCGAGTTCCAGTTCCCGAGTTCCAGTTCCCGAGTTCCAGTTCCCGAGTTCCAGTTCCCGAGTTCCAGTTCCTTCCCGAAGGGATGTAATAAAATAATAAAAATAAAACATAATAAAATACAATTTAAAGCTTTCGTGACTGCAGGGATTCATCTTCTTGGTTCTTTTGGTAAAGTCGCGTAGAAAGGAAATAATAAAATAATAAAAATAAAACTTAATAAAATAATTTTATAATGTTTTATTTTTATTATTGTATTATTTCCCTTCTACGTGACTTTACCGAAAGAACCAAGAAGATGAATCCCTGCAGTCACGAAAGAAGCTTTAAATCGAAATAAAATTAAAAAAATATTTGGGTGATGGGCGTGTTAGTTAGTGATCATGACGTCACGCATCCGCTGCGTGACGTCACGCGATCGCCGGCGGCGGCTTTAGCGCGTGACGTCATGTAGCGCTCGCGTGACGTCATGTAGCTCCTGCCGCTCCTGCCGCAAGATACGACGAGGAGAAGGAGGTGAGAAAGAAAGACAAAGGCGGCTGGGACGCTAACGTTGGACCGCTAACGTTGGGACGACGTTGGGGCGACGTTGGGGCGACGTTGGGGCTAACGTTGATTCAAAACGCTGTTCGCTCAACGTCATTTTAAATCGGTTTTGTTGAGTGATGAAGATGGTTGCAGGGAACATCGCTGCTGTTGTGATTGTCATTAAAATGTTTGCATCTGGGTTGTTGTTGGCGTAGCATACACGATGGTGTGGGCTGTGGGTGATCGGGTGGGCTCTGTGACTCGGGCCTCGAAGTGCACCTAGCCTGGCACGATGCGCTGTGGTGCGTTGGCACGGGTCTGTATGTGTGTGCTGGCACGGGTCTGTATGCGTGCTGGCACGGGTCTGTATGTGTGCTGGAACGGGTCTGTATGCGGGTTGACACAGGTCTGTATGCGTGCTGGCACGGGTCTGTATGTGTGCTGGCACGGGTCTATATGCGTGCTGGCACGGGTCTATATGTGTGCTGACACGGGTCTATATGTGTGCTGACACGGGTCTATATGCGTGTTGGCACGGGTCTATATGTGTGCTGGCACGGGTCTATATGCGTGCTGACACGGGTATATATGCGTGCTGGCACGGCTCTATATGCGTGCTGGCACGGGTCTATATGTGTGCTGACACGGGTCTATATGTGTGCTGCCACGGGTCTATATGCGTGTTGGCACGGGTCTATATGTGTGCTGGCACGGGTCTATATGCGTGCTGACACGGGTTTATATGCGTGCTGGCACGGCTCTATATGCGTGCTGGCACGGGTCTATATGCGTGCTGGCATGGGTCTATATGCATGCTGGCACGGGTCTATATGCGTGTTGGCACGGGTCTATATGTGTGTTGACACGGGTCTATATGTGTGCTAGCACGGCTCTATATGTGTGTGACACGGGTCTATATGTGTGTGCTGGCACGGCTCTATATGCGTGTTGACACGGCTCTATATGTGTGCTGGCACGGCTCTATATGTGTGTGACACGGGTCTATATGTGTGTGCTAGCACGGCTCTATATGCGTGTTATCACGGCTCTATATGCGTGCTGGCACGGCTCTATATGTGTGCTGGCACGGGTTTATATACGTGCTGGCACGGGTCTATATACGTGCTAGCACAGCTCTATATGTGTGTGACACGGGTCTATATGCGTGCTAGCACGGGTCTATATGTGTTGACACGGGTCTATATGCGTGCTGGCACGGCTCTATATGCGTGTTGACACGGGTCTATATGTGTGTGACACGGGTCTATATGTGTGCTAGCACGGGTCTGTATGCGTGCTAGCACGGGTCTATATGCGTGCTGGCACGGCTCTATATATGTGTGACACGGGTCTATATGCGTGCTGGCACGGCTCTATATGCGTGCTGACAGGAGCCCGCGCATGCCTTGACTTGATTGCAGGTGCACGCGATCTCCCTCCCCCCACCAACCCCCCAATCTTGCCGGATCCCCTCCGCCGGTACCGCCGGCACAGCCGCCACCGCCCGCTATGCACCGCTGCGGCCAGTGCGAGTACAGCACCAGCTACCGTGGCCACATGGAGGTCCACCGCCGAAAGCACACGGGAGAGAAGCCCTTCAAGTGCGCCTCGTGCGACAAGTCGTTCGTCCACCTGGGCCACCTCCACCGGCACCAACGCTCGCACTCGGGCGAGAAGCCGTACCGCTGCGACGCGTGCGGAAAGACCTTCACGCAGTCGGGCAACCTTCACAACCACCGGCGCATCCACACGGGCGAGCGTCCCTTCAAGTGCGCCGTGTGCGGCAAGGCCTTCAGCCAGACGGGCAACCTGCACAACCACCTCATGACACACATGGAGGAGAAGCCGTACAAGTGCGCCGTGTGCGGCAAAGCGTTCAC